CTCTCTCTCTCTCTCTCTCTCTCTCTCTCTCTCTCTCTCTCTCTCTCTCTCTCTCTCTCTCTCTCTCTCTCTCTCTCTCTCTCTCTCTGTTGTTTTATTTTTTCCCTTTTGGAAAGCAAGCATTCTTAGCAACGGGCTCGGTACCTCATTAGGTTTGAAAAACTTTGTGCAGTGCAATTTACAGTGGGACGGTGTGTGACAGTGTGACAGTGTATTATTAGCCAACAACATGCACAATTGGATCACTTTGTCACCAAAGGCTTCCTATGGTAATCATCAGCATCATCATCAAGTCACAAGCTGTGTTCCGTATCGTCTCCTTTTTCATTCAGGGTGGAAGTGACTAGGCTGTGGCCGGGAAAGGAGGCGGGTTGGGGTGAAGAGCGAAAGGGACAGGGAAGTCTGTAACTTTTCCAGATCTACGTACATAGGTTTTTAGACAGAATGGCCACTCTGGGCACAATTACTCTTCATCTTACGGGCGCCACGTGGGCTCCTTGGCCGATGCACAGGATCGACTCGACCGGAATCGGGCCACCTTTGCTCCCACCCTCTTCTTGTGCCACGTGGCATGCGCACCGCGACATTTTCCACGGTGCCTGTTTCATTCGGGCTGTCAGTTGTGCTGCTGCTGTCGGATCTTTTTTGCAGCCGCCTTGCCGCTGCTGGAGCTGCGCCGCACTGCGATCGCCCCCTCTGCTGTTCAAGATCAGTGCGCCAATGATCCGCTTGCCGTTATCCAGAGCTCGGCGCTTAGCACCAGCCATTGTTTCCTGCCATCAGATCGCCTCCAGTCCGATCTCATGTCGTAATCCCGGCGTGTTGTCCCCACCATCTCTCGCCCATGTGGGCCAGTTATTCATCAGGAATTTCTCTCCCATTCGTCACGGGTACTTGTCATCCCCTGGGGAGGACGGTGATGGGGCCACAGAGAAGCCGCCGCAGACGAGTGCTTGTCCTCCTCCTGGTGACAACTGCGGCTTCGTCTGCCGTGGCGGCAGTATGCAAGGAGGCTATGGCTGCTGCCGCCGTTATGGGGATGCGGAGTGGAAATCGTGGATTCCCCAGAGTGCTGCACGGGCAGGAAATGGCGTGAGGCCAGAGGACCGAACGGAAGCCAGGCATCCCGTTATTTGTGGTGGTGGTGACGTGTCCTGTTCTCGACGGCCGTCGTCTGTTGCATCGACGGCATTCCCCATGCCAATCGGATACCGAGTTTTGTGTGCGGGATTACGACCTTGGAGCCACCGACAGCGAATCCATCGGTCTGGAAGGGACGCTGTGTGGCTGCTGGCAGGAAGGAGAAGGAAGAATCGAGAGAGAGGCGTTCGGGTTTGGGTACATCAGAGCAGGGGGCAGTTTCTTGACCATGAAGAAGGTCAATATGGTCTGGCCTGTCGAGCGCGGGCAATGAGCCACGTGCCCTCCGCTGCCTCCTCCTTCTCCTCCTCCTCGCTGGATGCTTCTTCATCACAGTGCCTACAATCACAGGGCCACGGTAGCAAGTTGGTTCTTGGGATCGAGACCAGTTGCGACGAGACTGGCGCAGCTGTGGTGTCCGTGGACGGAAGGATCCTTGGCGAAGCCTTGGCCTCTCAGGCCGAGCTCCATGCTCAATGGGGAGGGGTAGTCCCAAAGCTAGCACAAGGAGCACATGAGGATGCGATCGATTCCGTTGTCCAGTGCGCACTAACTACAGAAGGGGGGGGGAGGATAGATCCGTCTGACCTGGCAGCTATTGCAGTTACGATTGGTCCTGGTCTAAGTCTTTGCCTCAAAGTTGGTATACGGAAGGCGAGGGCATTAGCAAGAGAGCACAATCTACCTGTCATCCCGATCCATCACATGGAGGCCCATGGGCTAGTGGCCAGACTCTGCGAGTGGGAACTGCACTTCCCATTCCTGACACTCCTCATCTCGGGGGGTCATAACCTGCTGCTCCTGGCCCATGGAGTGGGGCATTACACCCAACTTGGTACCAGTCTGGATGATGCTGTCGGAGAGGCTTATGACAAAACGGCCAGGCTTTTGGGACTGGAACTCGGCAGGGGTGGGGGACCTGCTCTGGAGGAGGTGGCCCGTGAAGGAGATCCCTATAGCTTCAATTTCTCGGTCCCGATGCGAAAATTCAAGAACTGCAACTTCTCTTATGCAGGTCTGAAGACCGCAGTGCGCTTGGCCATTGATGCTGCGTGCCCAGGTGCGGAGACTAGGCCGATCTCCGCCGCCACTTCTGCGGAGCGCAAGATCCGCGCCGACATCGCTGCCTCATTCCAGAGAATTGCGGTTTTGCATCTCGAGGAGAGAACACGGAGGGCGATCGAGTGGGCGAGAAACATCGATCCTGCAGTTGATTGTTTGGTGGTTGCTGGGGGGGTGGCTGCCAATCAAGTGGTAAGGCATCGGTTGGAAGGTGTGGTGAGAGAGGGGAGCCCCAACAGGGAAGCAGCTGATGGTGGGGTTATGCGCATAGCATTCCCTTCTCCTAGATTATGTACTGACAATGGAGTTATGGTTGCCTGGGCCGGAGTGGAGCGCTATCGCCTGGGATTGATGGACCCGCCTCCGCCCCCTGTCACATCAACGGTGGAGGATGAGCATTTGGATATACGGCCGAGATGGCCTCTTGGAGAGGTGCTCGCCCAAGGAACTCAGAACGTCAAGTCGATGAAACAAGTGCGGAACTACACTTCGCTGACTGCACTATCAAAAGCTGCAGGGTCCCAATAATTACCTGGGAAACAAGCTCGGCCAAGCAGTGAACCATCTGTGTTGTGAGTGATGGTGGTGGGTGGGTGGTACTTAGTCGTCACAAACTATTGCACCCACCCACACTTCAGTCATTCACAAACTATTGCACCCACCCACACTTCAGTCATGCTTGTGGAAAGAGGGTCTTCAAGGGTTCACTTTCATGTGGAAAGAGGGTGCCACGAGTTAAAGGGTCACATTCATTCATCTGTTGTGAAGACATGTGTCGTGAGTGGTGGGTCGTACTTGGCCACCCGCTCGCCATTTGTGACGCACTGTTACTTCGGTCATTCTTGTGGGAAGTGGACTGTAAAGATCATTGATTCTTTCAATGTCTTTGTGAAGAAGTCTTATAATTGGTGTAAGAAGTGGCAGTTCCTTGCCGTGGGGGATTAGAGTTAGTTTAATAGTCGTCAAAGAAGAGAGAAAAGATTGTTTTTGGATTCACGCGAGCTTTCGGGTTGGTTTTTACCCAACCACGCCAAACTTGGTTAAACCAAATCACACTAGGCTAAACCAAACCACTAGTGTCCTGGTTGCACCAGATTTCCAGTGTGGTTTGGTTTGATGAAACCAAGGCTCCACTCTAGGTTGAAGCGAACCACTTTCATCTTCACCCACCCGAATAGAACACAGGATCGTTATATATAGGTTATTTTCTAGACGGAAAGTTGCCTCGATACACAGCTATTATGACCTGGGTGTAGGTGAAGACGGTCGTGTACAGGTTATGCTAGATTTCTAGTGTCCTTCAGGCTTAACAAAGCTCACTCACTAGACTTTGAGTTTAACCAACCAAGCAAAGGTTCCAGCAAACCTGCAGAATGTAGGGTGACACGTGTTATTGTTAGCCCCACTCGATTGGACCTTTTTCTTGGTCATCCGCAAACCTCCAGTGGCCTTCTTTCTCAGTCATCAGGTTCAGCAGAAGAATCTGGTCTCCTCTGATGTGGCTGCAAATGACACCAACACTAGACTTCCAGTTTAATCAAGCTCACTCACTAGACTTCCAGTTTAACCAACAAAGTAATGGTTCCAGCAAGCCTGCAGAATGCAGGGTGTTGTTGTTAGACGCTCAATTGGACCCCTTTCTTGGCCATCCAGCTCCAGACGGTGGCCTATTTTATCAGTCATCAACTCTAGCAATAGAATCTGGTCTCTTCTGGCGTGGCAGCCAATGAGACCAACACTACAGCAGGAAAAGTTTATCCTGTTTTGGAACCTCGCAGTCTCAGAAGGCGGTTCCTTCCGTCCATCCTCGCCATCCTTGCAGTGGCGCAATCAGTACGTGAATCTTCTTTGCTTTTGCTTTACCTTCTCATGTGCCATTTTATTAAGACTGTCACCATTTGCTTTTATTCACTTTGCGTCGCTTACCTTTTCTTCATATGTTTCAAGTTTTCAACACAGGCGGCGAGAAGCTGGCAGATGGACCGAATGCCGACAAACACGTCTATGAACGTGTGTGATCGGTGTCACATATTTGTATCCTGTTTTTCAAACTGTAGTAGTATGAATACTGGCAGTGATGAGTTGCCAATGCTGCTGATTACAGTGTGAATATGCTTGGTGCTCGCTTGTCTTGTGTGCAACAGGAGGCTCACAAATCTTTCACCTTGTGAGGATTTTTGTCTCCTGCACAGGTCACCAACCACAGGCAGGCAGATCGTCAGTCATGTCGATCACTTCCGCAATGGCAGCTACACTTTCCTCCTCTATTGCTTCCTCTGGGTGCTTGGAGCTGGACACTGACTCAATGACATCATCAACAGCTTGTTGTTCTCGCATTGCGTGTGAGTCTGGTTTTGTCACTTGCTGGAGGTCACCGAAGAGGGATCTGGCCGCCTCTGTTTCGTTTTGTTCGTCTTTCTCTTTCGCAGGCCAACGGCTTTGCAGCAATAGTTGGAGGAGAGTAGAGGGGTGTCCTCCCTGCTGCATCGCAGTTGCGAGCCGAGTGAACTCGGACAGGCTTTGCAGCCAGTCGTCCCCATCGGGTGGACGTATCACAGGCAAGCTGGTGTCTCTGGCCTCGAGCGATGGCGCGCAAGTCATGGACAACAGTTCTCCTTGCACTTCGACGGTGGAGCGCACAATCGTCGTTGACGTAGATTTAGGAGACCGTAGTTATCCCATCTATATTGGCTCTGGGTTGCTGAACCGTGGCGATTTGCTGCGGAGACATGTCAAGGGTAAACAGGTTTTGATCGTCACAAACGACACAGTGGCGCCTATTTATCTTGACTGGGTCACTGAATCGCTTGTGAACGGTGCAGAAGAACCCATCACTGTGGAAAGTGTTGTTCTTCCCGATGGCGAGGCATACAAATCGCTTGATGTGTTAATGAATGTGTTCGACAAAGCCATTGAATGCAGGCTGGATCGCCGTTGCACACTCATTGCGCTTGGTGGTGGGGTAATTGGTGACATGTGCGGATTTGCCGCAGGTGTGTATCTCCGTGGCGTCAACTTCATTCAAATTCCCACCACATTGATGGCCCAGGTAGATTCGTCCGTCGGCGGCAAAACGGGGGTGAATCATCCGCTTGCTAAGAACATGATAGGGGTCTTTTACCAGCCTCAGTGCGTGCTTATTGATACAGACACCCTCAGCACACTCCCAGACAGAGAACTTGCTTCTGGAGTTTCGGAGATCGTGAAGTACGGGCTTATTCATGATCCAGGATTCTTTCAGTGGCAGGAGGCAAACATGGATCAGTTGCTCGCAAGAGATCCTCTAGCCCTCGCCCATGCAATTAAGCGATCCTGTGAAATAAAGGCGGAAGTAGTTGAGCTGGATGAGAGAGAGGGCGGGCTGCGAGCTATTCTCAACCTAGGCCACACTTTCGGTCATGCCATTGAAGCGGGACTCGGCTATGGGGCTTGGCTTCACGGCGAGGCGGTGGCGGCGGGGATGACCATGGCCGCAGACATGTCGTATCGCCTCGGCTGGATTGACAAGGAGCTTGTGGAGCGAGCTGTGGCTCTGCTCGACCAGGCAAACTTGCCAACGCGGCCCCCGAAAGAGATGACCGTTGAGACATTTCAGTCTATCATGGCAGTGGACAAGAAGGTTGCCAATGGCCAACTAAGGTTGATTCTGTTGAAGGGCCCTCTTGGTAGTTGTGTGTTCACCGGAGATTTTGACAGCTCAAAGCTGGATGAGACCTTGGAGTATTTCTGTGCGAATTCGCAATGATGTTCTGCTCGCTCAGGAGAGTAAGCAAATAAAGGACATGTGAACCTGGGGGTTCACTGTTGCGCGTTTCCTGATGTACCCTCTTCGGGGGCTTCATTTTCACTGGAGGGTAAAGAGGGACTTCATTTTCACTGGAGGGTCTAAAGTGGTATTAGACTGCTTCATATACTTTGCTAACTTGACGGGTCATGCACATACGGTACAAGTCACCTGACCCGATCAATAGCTGCTAATTCGTCGATCTTCAACAACAACAACAACAAAAAAAAAAAAAAAAAAAAAAAAAAAGTTCCATGCTTTGTGTCGTGGGTAGGATCTGTGACAGTGTTCCCTGATGGAGTAGTTTCGTCATGATGGATATCACGAGTTTTTCATCGCGATGATTATCGTGAATGCATCAGGCTGCCTTTGCCTTTACATTCAAGGCAGAGTGAAATAGGAATTCTTCTGTTATCGGAAGGTCTCTGACGAGTCTGAAGCCAGCGAGGCAGAACAATGTCCAACGTTGGGGAGAAGTCTCCCTTTTCAGGCTTCATTCACACCATGGACGACTCCAATCATTGTGACTGGTTGATCCAAAGGAATTGTGAGTTGAGTTACTTATGTCTTTATTCAGGGGAAACTAAGGAGTAGTCACAAAATCGAGTTATAATTGCACTATGGGCCAAGATTCAGTTTCGAATTGCAGTTTGGGCTATGTATACAACCCAGCTTTCTGGCCAGGTAGGGTGCACAAAGTGCAATTGCAAACTGTATCTTGCCCCATAGTGCAATTATAACTCCTTTTTGTGACTCTACTGAAGTCACCCCCTTTGTTAATTTACTGTGTCCCTCCAGGATTGGTATGGTAAAAGTTTGATCCTTGTTCTGCCAATAGACTCTCAGGGACTTCTCTGGGAGTATCTGGCCGCAATTATGTATAAAATTCAGTGCCCATGTTGTTCTGGACGTCGACGAAGTCTCATTTATTTGCATATTGATCGCAGACTCGCAGAGTGATTTACTCAATGTAGGCCTCTGGCGAATATGCCCTTGTTCATCGATGAGATGGTAAAGCTTTGATACAGGGTGTGACAGGCCCTCGGGGACTTCACTGGGAGTAACTGGGAGCAGTTCATACCATATTTTTTTAAGAGGGGAGGAGTTGATTTGCGTGAGGCGGAATCTGTCCAACACAACAGAGAGGAGGTTTATGGGCATCACTCCGTTACTCGGCAAATGTGCAAAATGAGAGTGAACCTTCCGCAAGAGCATGGAAAGATACACCGCCCTATTTGTTGTCTTTTCTGCATGTGGTGAGTAGTGGAGCAAGGCCCTGAGAGAGGCTCTTTGGCTGGGGACTGATAGCAGTCACTCAAGATACAAAAAGAAAATTGTACTTGAGGAAGCATGAAGTCAGTCTCTCGCCCGTTTTTTAAGTCCTGAAATGTCCGTACCAATTTCCCTCCTTTTGCCCATGTTTGCTCCGAGTTTGTCGATGCAAATGGGAGCATGTTAATTGGTATTCCAATGGGGGCATTCTATTCTATTAATTTGTATTCCTTGATGAACCACAACATGCACCCCGAGGAACGGCCAACGTTTCTGACCTTCGCCTGTCTGCTCCAACACCAAATCACATCATAAGATTTTTCGAATGCTTTTTCGAATGCTTTTTCGAATGCTTTTTCCCTACAGCTTCATATCATTTTCTACCATCTCTCTGAGTCTCACAAACAGACTCGCATCATGAATCACTCTATTACGGTACTTCACCAGACTCCTTTTGTTTCCCAACTCTTCCAAGAACTTCTCCTTGGTGTACGCACAACAAATGTGTACAGGTGTGAGGGTAGTAGATTTCGCATCCGGACCCCCCACAGGTTGCTTCGGAGACCTGTGGGGGTCCGTATGAAGCGGTGGTGGAAGTCTCGATCGAAAGCACTCATACTGGTCCCTTTGATCAGAACTTCCAACAGTAGACAAGGAGGCCGTGCCCTCGCTGTAGCGGCGGTGAGGACTGCTTCAATTTGTTCAGGCACAAAAAATTGACGTTGGGCAATTTAGGATCCTCCGCCTGTTCGTACATTATGACGATCATGGGGGGGACACAGGTGCAGGTAACTTTACAACAGAGACGGTAATTGAAAGTTGATCATCAGGTTAGTGGCGGGTGCCCGTGTGTCGGTCTGGGAGATCATTCATGTTTCTGGTGTGATGGACACACGGTGTGTTGGCTTACAACTGTCAATTTGTGTATCAGTGTCTCCTCGCTTGAGTAGGAAAAAAAAAAAAAAAAAAACGATCCTCCGGACCTCCGCCTGATTTAAAAACATATTCCAGGGATCAAATTTAACCACCTTTCTTACAATGTCCATGCTAATTCGGCAATCTCCTGGCCCAGGACGACTTTTGGGCCACGCTGCTTTGAACGTGGAGGAGACTCCCCCTCCCCCAAAAGATGGGTCTGATGCGATGGGAGGAGGCGTGGGTGTGCAGACAACCGCTGTTCGGAAACCGCTGGAGTACGGATGAACAAGGAAGGATGTATAGTAGTTCAGCGGCCCCCCTGGGAAGGTTGGGTGAGGCATGGGGTCGTACGAGCGGGGGACCTCTGGGACTGCCCTGCATGGGACTGGGCGACAAAGGAGCAGACGTGCTCAGTACTACCATATTGTCACCGGGTGGGGGACCACCTAGAAACGATTATCTTCTCCCTGCCACTCGAATGGCTGCGTTTTTTGCCGAAGGGTCCAACAGTGGAGGAGAGTGCTTGAGTGACAGTCAAGGGGGAGGAATCCAGGGTGGGTAATGTTATTGAAACCCGGGAGGAGGAAATATTAATCAACATCTTCTACCTGTCCCTTGTCCCACACTCTCAGCCGGACCGGCGCACACGAGGCAGTATGGGTGCTGCAGCACCAACTTTTCCACATGAAGGTGTTCAAAAGCAAGGAGCAATGGATTGCCTTCTGGCCAGACAGACCTGTTCTGTTGAGAGAATGGCACTAGACTCAACTACCTGACAGTGGGCACGACCAACCCAATCGTGCAATTTAGACTCTTGCATCATTAAACAGCTTATTCCTCAGTCGTGCATCCAACTCTTCACCCTCCTTCTCTTTGCCCTCCCGTTTCTGTCTCCCAACCCGCTAACGCTCCGGGCTGCTAGCTTCAATTTTGGGGTAACTATGGTACAGTCACATTTTCAGTTCTAAATCCACGTCAGGCATCCCTCGACTACAATCCATCGCCACCCAGCTTTAAAGTTGGTTTGGATACATTCACGATTCTCCTCGCTTTGGTGCAAAATTCGCGAAACTGTGACTGAAACGCATTTAAAACTGAAAACCTTGACTGTGCCCTAGTTTTCCCTTCGATTTATCTATTTGATCGACTTTCTTCCGCTTGTTGTTGGATGCGGGATGGGAGTCTATGGTTGTCTGGCTGACCCTTGTGAGCGTGATGTGTCTCTGGCCATACTTCTCGAACTCCCTCTTGAGCTGCAAACTCTCTCCCCAGTCCTTTGTGAGGCTGGATACCCTGAATGCTGATTGGAGTCCTTTTTCTGCCTTTAAGCTTCGTGCTCAGATTGAGCAGGATTGCACTGCTTATCTTTGGGATGATGCAGATCTGCTCCAATTCTGGTAAGGGAGCTGCAACTTTAAGTCTCGCGGCGGATGTCAAAAAAAAAATAGAAAAAGGAAAAGAAAAACAGTTGTGCTTTAGGCTTTCAACCAATAAGGTCCCGCCATGTTCCAGATTCTCGGTCGTAAGGTCTCTCTACGTGTGTGCCCTCTCCTCTTCGTGAAAAGCGGATCCTTGGGCTCCATGGGCTCCAAGTGACCCCGTGAGGCCGCATGGAGCCCGAGGACCGGTTGTGAGGTCTGTGTGCTCTCTCCTCTTCGTGAAAAGCGGATCCTTGGGCTCCATGGGACCCCGCGAGGTCGCTTGGAGCTCGAGGACGAAATGGCTGCGCAATCCTAAATTCTTAAGGATTCAGGGCCTTGTTAGACACTCCTTGGGGACACAATTCGGTCGCCAGAGTTGTGGTTACACCGCGTCCTAAAAATCAAAATTCCGCAAAAAATGTGAAAAAACTCCAAGGACGAATCCTTGGGGAATTAGGATTCCCCATCCATT